CTATAGAATACTGCAAAGAATATAGTGGGGGGCTGCGGTTGTAGCTCAGTGGTAGAGCACTTGCCTATCATGTGGCGAGGCACTGGGTTTGATCCTCAGTACCACATAAATATAAACATACAAAATAAAAGTATTGTGTCCATCTATAGCTAAAAAAAATTACTAAAGAGGGAACAAGTCAAGAAATGGTGAAAAATAATTACCATCAGCACTTCATGTAAATTATTTCATTTGCTCCTCACAAATACTTTCAGAAAGTTAAGTATTATTTCTCCAATTCATAGATGAGGATACTAGAGAGAATACAGTACTTAATAACATACACATGGTACCAAGGTCTGAATTCAACTGATTCTATAGGCAAGCAAACCACACTGTTCTCAGGTATGTGGTTGTTGATACTTGTTTCTAAAGTGCTCTGAAAAGCATAAGGTAAAAATATCAAGATTTTTAAAAATTAAACTTCCCTATCAATGAGATACTCTCCAAATCACATAAGCCATTCATCCTCAAAACTGTACTTGCCCATGCTGTCTTTTAATTACATGTAAGCACTTTTAAAAATTTAACACTGATGGGGCTGGGGATGTGGCTCAAGCGGTAGCGCGCTTGCCTGGCATGCGTGCGGCCCAGGTTCGATCCTCAGCACCACATACAAACAAAGATGTTGTGTCTGTTGAAAAATAAATATTGAAATATAAATATAAATATTAAAAAAAATTTAACACTGGATTTTTTTCAAATTTAAAACTATATATATAATAGAAAAAATTTAAGTCACATGGGTGGAGGGAAGGCATCCTCCCAACCCCAAATCTTCAATCTTTACTTAATCTCATTGTACTGACCACCATTAACAGTATCTGAAAGAACTATCCATATGGGGTTCCAGCCCCAAGATATTTAGGGTGGCTTAGTCTTTTTTTTTTTGAGAATGAATTTTTTAATATTTATTTTTTAGTTTTCGGTGGACACAACATCTTTATTTTTATGTGATGCTGAGGATTGAACCCAGCACCCCGCGCATGCCAGGCGAGCACGCTACCGGTTGAGCCACATCCCCAGCCCCTGGCTTAGTCTTCTTAATTAATCTTTCTTTAGGCCTAAAACCAAACTAAAACCAGGAATGAATGTAGGAAAATGCATCAACAGTATATACTCTTGTTAAAAACAAATTTCTTTGAAAAATTCTAAACCCCTACCAGTTTAAGTGAAACACCACAACTATAATGAGCTGGACACACACCAGTGCATGCCTATAGTCCCAGTTTCTCACAAAGCTGAGGCAGGAGGATCACAAGTTTGAGGTCGGCATGTACAATTTAGCAAGATCCCGTCTCAAAATAAAATTTAAAAAGAAACCATAGTTCGTTTTTAATGGTAGAACACAAGGCACTGGGTTCAATCCCCAGAAAAAGAAAAAATGTTTAATGATAATGTTGAGATAAAAAAATGGAATTCTTGATAATAACAGTAATTCCTGACATAATAAAGAGAATGATTAACATCAGGAAAATAAAAAAAACTAAAAAGTTGTCCGAGTTAAAGCATTTATAGAGAATAGTAACTAGTCAGGCATGATGGCACGTATCTGCAATCACAGCAAATTGGCTGAGGCAGGAGGATTTCAAGTTTGAGCACAGCCTCAGTAACCTAATGAGTGAGACCCTGTCTCAAAATTTAAAAAATAAAAAGGGCTGTGAAGTGGCTCAGTGGTACAGTACTTCTGGGTTTCATCCCCAGTACCTAAAACCACTCAATAACAACAACAAAATGAAATCATAACAAAAAAGTAACTGTTATTAATGGGACTATAAAACATCAGATAATCTGCTAGATGGTTTTAATCACACTATAAACAGATACTACCTCTAGGTAATCCAAAGTAAATAAGCTGAAGTATTCAACCACTTATTCCCAAGGACAGAAAACGCCTTCCACTAAAGTTTGAACCATGGTGGAAAAAAATCTGATCTCTTTCAATATACCAATTTGCTACCCGAAAGAATTAGCTGAAAGGTAAGAAATGAAGGCAAGCTTGATAACAGCCTGCTCCTTCCATGAAGTACTTCAACAATTTTTCTCCTAACAGTTTCAGCATTCATTGATGACAGGTGCCAGTTTACAGGATAAATGGGGATTAGATGAATGCATGTCACTATGATAAAATAATTGAATACGGTTAATTCTCTAAGACAAATGACCCAGTTTTATAAGCAATAAAGTAGAATGGGGAGGAAAAGGTACAAAGTGATTAAGAGACCTGAGACATAGAAAAATGTTTTTAATTTTTGAAGCTGGGAAATATAGTGTTTCATTGTACTTTTGTGTATTTTGAAAAATCACTTGTTATAGAACTAGCCAACTTCCCCAAATGACTTATATTAAAATCTATTCATATCAGGGAGATTTCTACTTTTAATCACACTGCAAAAGGCTGGACTGACAGTTATAAAACTAAACTTGACTTTTGAGCATTATATTACCTTTCCTAAAAATCTCATAAAACAAGACCAATCAACTACCCAAATAAAACCTACATTAAGAATTAAAATCATTTTGATAGAAGTCTATCAACTTGTAAAGAAAAATGTGAATGAAAGAAATAAAAAAAAAGCTATTAACCATTACTTTTCATTTCATTCCAAGTCATTTCACAGAACTATGACTAAATAAAACTGATCAAGTTATTGACTCATCAATTTGGTATATCACTACCAAGCACAATGCTAAATCTTACAAGTATGAATTTATATGTCACAATTCAGTCATAATTATTGGGAGACTTTGCCCTGTCATTTCCAATTTCTCTAGCATCTAGCTCTTCCAACTACCTGGAATAATTCCAGTTTTATGAAAAACCACAAAACTTCAGAGTGGTAGTTGTCTCCTACTGTCAGTTTACTAACAAGATTCAATTTAATTAATCTACTCTGATAATACTCCATGAATGTATGGAGGAATAAAAAACTCAGGCAGCAATGGAAACCACATATTCATCTGCAATTTTAAAAAGATCTAATGAGAAAACCACGCTAGACGAGGTTCCATCAAACAGATATTAAATTACTAAGAAAAATACCTAAATCATAAATGATCCATATTTATACACTGACCACGGTTTAGACCTTTTCACTTTTAGTGGTGAACTCCAAGCACTATAAAATAAACAAAAAATCCTGGAGCTTTTAGAAAACCAAGTCCAAAAGTACAAGGAAAAAGGCAATTAAGAGCAGAAATCTGATCCCAAAGAACATGAAGCATGGGCTGGGAGGTTTTGACAGGACAGTAGCAATGGAGAAGGGCTGTAGAAAGGATGGCAAACATCTTAATCTATACAGCAACACTGTTAGCCTCAGGACAAATACTTTTTAAAGAAAAAATGCTAATGCCAAATGCTCCTTTTAAAAAACATTTTCACAATACACATGCATGTCCCTGGGTCTCTTGCCATATGATGCTCTGTACCTTCTTAGGATTTTGCCAGCAAGAAGGGCATGACCAGATGCAGATACTTGACCTTGGGCTAGACCATGAGTCAAAACACACACACAAAACAAACACAAAAACAGAAACCCACCAAAAACCAAGAAATCAACCAACCACTTTTCTTCATGATTACCCAGTGTTTGGTATTGTGTTATTAGCAACAGAAAATAGACTAAGACACTCAAGTGATCTAATCTAATCTACCTATACCTGTTTACTCATCTGGTCTGTCCAGACAAGACTAACTTGGGATGTTATGTGTACGTATAATCATGTTTTAATGAACCTCACGTTATGTATAATTATAATGTACCAATTAAAAATTAAATTAAAAAAAGAAAAAAAACAGTAACAAAATAAAGCTCAACTATTCTGAAGAGTATGTCACTGTATGTGATTCCATCAGAAGTCTAAATATTATTTAAATGACTCTACAACTTATCTAAAAATGTCTAGTCAACTTTCAGAACACATTACACTGGTAAATGCTAACTCTAGGGGAATCTAGCCTGGTTTTATTATTTATCAGGCAAGAAAATTCCAGGCATTTTCTGTTTAAAATATACAAATGTAATTCAAATCTGTCTGTAATGCACTTATGAAATGAGGATACTTTCAACAAAACAACCATAATAACCAATTATGAATTCTATAATGATAAATATTTCAACCTGGCAGATTGAACAAAAAGCCTTTTTTCGTTTACTACATTAAGTAACATTTAGTTTTTATGTGAAAACAGGCACAGTAAGAAAAATACCTATAAGCAAAAACTCCATTAAACAATTAAGTTCTGTAGAGCTCTCTTCCCCAAGTTTTTTCTAATAAAACCCTTTTTTGTTTTTCCAAGTAAGGATTAACACACAAGCACACACTGCTTAAAATAGCCTTAATTCTTGTAGGCTTAGGTTTAGGTATTTACTTAATTTGATAGGTATTTACTTAATTTGATAAGGAAACGTAATAATTTCAAGACTCCCCCAGGACTCTGCATTAAAAACTAAAACCTCGCTTGCCTAGCAATGCATGAAGCCCAGGGTTCCATCCTCAGCATCACCAAAAATATCCCTCAAAACAAAAAATCTCAGGCATCAGAAGTCCTATTTTTATATCTGTGACTCACCAAAGAGTTATTGGAAAAGTATGGTTTTCCAAGCTGACTTTCCAATTAGACTTTAATCTTCAATGAAGTATGTACTTGGTGTTTTATTAAACAACCTGTCACGATGGACAAATTGAATGACTTTCCATGAATGCCTACTTGCCCCCACTGATCCAATAAAATGATACAAAACCTATAATTTAATAAAACTAATAGTAAATATTTTCTATGAGTTTTGGTTTCCAATATTTAGGCCTACCTAAGTTAGTAATAATGATTACCTGTACAATTATTCCAGGAAAAAACTGAAAATTTTTAAATTTGAGGTACATAAATAATATTCACTTAAGAATAAAGTAATCAAGATTTCCTTTTACTTAAAAAAAAAAAAATCACTTCAGAGTCAAACTTCATGTACAAAAGACAAGACCAATCACTTTATCACTGGACACAAAGGTAATTCCAAAGGCCTTTAAAAATGGTAATTAATCTCAAAAAGGAAAATTAATTTCAACTTTTATATTTCATTCATTATCAAGACCATACTGCTTAACAAGGTAAATTTGCTATAGATACAAAACATACAGTATATACACTTAACTGTACAAAATAATTTAATGTTTACAAAAATATTAGAATGTTTAGTTGACTGACACAGTCTTAAAGTAATCTCTTCTAGAGAAGTATATAGTAAGACCACTGATTTCCATTTCATTTCTTTTTTAATAAGTCAAAGAAAGGATGCTGCAATGCTTCGTCCAGGGTGATTCTTTTAGTTGGATCATATTCTAACATTCTTCGAACAAGGTCAAAAAGCTTCTCATGTTCTTCATCATGACTGAGCATAAATTCCTGGAGGAAAAAAATTTTGTTAAAAAAGATACTAATAATAGTGAAAATTTATTTTTCTTTTAATCCTTTTTTCTTTCACCTTTAATGGTTTGCAGCGTCTCCTAACATATCTACCAGCAGAACTATGTTCATCCCAATCTAGCTGGTTATGGTGAAAATACTTGCGTTTCCTAGAAGGAAAAAGAAATCTGGATTAATAAAATACTAAAAGATCTACATTTTTACCTTGCCCCCTGGCTGGGGGACAGATTAAAAAATGACCTTTTTTCTTTAGATATATAAACACCTATATACAATTAAAAAAAGTCTCAGTGACAAATGTGCATGACACTTTATATAGTATTTTCCTTTTTCTGCCCCCATCCTGTGGGGTTTTAATATTTCAACTAAAATTTTTCCCAAATATAATGGAACAATGCCAGCTTTAAAAATAGACACTGTTGGATCCATTCCTGTCAATTCTGCTTTCACTAGATCTGGAATAGGGCTGTAAATCTTGTAAATAACTCCCTAGATGACTTCTGTGGTGAAGTATGTTTGCAAACCACTATAGTGTTAATCAAACTTAGGAATGTTATTCTCAAACTTAGACTGATATGAGTATAAAAAATAAGCTTTCCCACCTCTATTTTTATTTTTACATCAACTTAGGAAAACATGTATGTAAAGGTTAAGTTTAAAAAAAAAAATCAAATAAAACAAAAACCCTCCATCTTTTAAAAGAACATAACATAAATACCGTTTTTTTTGTTGTTGTTGTTGTTTTGGGGTTTGTTTTTTTGGTGGTAACAGAACTGAACCCAGGGTCTTGAATATGATGGGCAGTTACTCTACCCACTGAACTACAGCCCCATCCTTGAATTATTTTTTTTAAATGGGTTAAAAGACGTAAATCTAAGTAATCACTAACATAGAATTTTTTTTTTTTTTTTCAAAATCCACAGTCCTTGAAACAAGCATTATGACCATGTTAAGTTTTCTGTGTTGCAATAGAGGCCATTGCATGCATCCAATGAAGAGCTTTAATCTTTAAACATACCTTGTTTTCTGAATCATGTGTGCTGGTATGGGTCCTAATATTCGTTCCATCATGGCCAGATGCTCTTTACTATCATGAGTCTAAAAAATGTGGAAAAAGAAAGTTTAGCACTCTTATTTCCCCACATGTACATTAAAAAAAGGACATAAGAATATGATGCTTACATAAAAGAACTAGACAGCTATACAATTTACACTGCACACTTCTCCAAAGATGAAACAATACTGAACAAGCTAGTCTTGGAGACGGAATAACAAGGTCTGCATAGTGAGCAACATGTAACTTGTTTAATGTAAAACAGAACAATTTCCTTCACTATTTGTATTTTTCACACTTTTTAACACAAGAACTGGGGAAGATTACCAGAAATCCTGTTACCTCTTCATTTATTTTTTTAATTTATTTTATTTTTTTTAATTTTTATTATTGGTTGTTCAAAACATTACAAAGCTCTTGACATATCATATTTCATACATTTGATTCAAGTGGGTTATGAACTTCCATTTTTACCCTGTATACAGATTGCAGAATCACATCGGTTACACATCCACTTACCTCTTCATTTAATCAGCTGCTTAAACAAAAGTTAACCTCCATTATCAAAAACAAATAGCCAGCCTACTTACTAACACTAATCTCAGGTGCTGAAAATACCCGATAATTCTCACAACAATCCTCAGCTGTATATGTGGGAACATGAGTTCAAAGAGGTTAAGATACTACCTTAAAGTCACATGGCTTATAAATGATGAAGAATGAGCCATAAACAATACAAAGCTCATATTCTTTCCACTGATATAGCTTTGGCTTTATAAAGTAGAATATGGCAATTTTTTTCTTTATATAATAAACATTTTAGGCTTGGCTGCTCACAAATAGTCCCTTATTTAATCATCTTTAAAAAAAACAAACAAACATAAGGCACAATTCACCATGGTCATCATTTGCCACCCCTCGTTTTAGGGAGCAGGGTTGTGTGTGATTGCTTTTTAAATCTACCAACTATAGTGTCAAGCACACTGCCTTCAAAACCGTTATTAATTCATGAAAGGAATAAATATTATTAGTTCCCCATTTAAAATTAATAATATACATTTCACTTAAGGCCTTGTAAGTGCTTTACAATTATAAAATCACTTGAAGCACCTACTTAACTCAATCAGTGGGAAGAAAGAATGCATTCAACCTTACTTTTTCTTGACTCTACAACTTACTACAAAAAAACCAGACACCAATTCCTACAATAGATTGATAACAACGGTTCTGAAGACATTAAACTCATCTACCAACTCAAGAGTACTTTTTGACTGATTTTCTACAAATCAGACAGGAACAGAAGCCTGGTGAGGTGCCCCACAAGCAGTGAACTCGTACGTGTGTGATAATGACCACCTCCATGACTCAACTGTTCATAGCTGCACTTGCCTCTGTACTGCTTAACTTCAAAAGTCAACCTCAACAGTTCTGAACTACATCTTCACAATCCTTCCCCGAACAAAGCAAAGTTGAACAACGGAGCATCCTGATCATACCACAACTCTACTTATTCTCCAATGGTTGCATTATCTAAAGCTATCAAGACTTTTAGACTCCAGAAGTACTTAAAAAATTATAAGAAAAAAAATGGAAACCAAAACAGAGTTTCCTACTTTTTATTTCACCAAATAAGGACTTCTAACTCTAAAAATTCAACTACTGAAGCCAGGCATGATAGTGCACAGCTGTAATCCCAGCATCTCAGGAGGCTGAGGTAGGAGGATCGTGAATTCAAAGCCAGCCTCAGCAACCTGGCAAGGCCCTAAGTATAAGTCACTCAGTGAAACTGTCTCTATATAAAATACAAAAAAGGCTGGAGGTGTGGTGTGGTTCAGTGGTTAGGCACCCCTGGATTCAATCCCTAGTGCCCAAGAAAGAAAGAAAGAAAAAAAGAAAGAAAGATTCAACTACTGAAAAGAAAAAAAAAGCTAAAATAATAAAAGTTAACTACCAGCAAAAACTACCACCATTTCATAAAAGGGAGATTTTAATATGAAAAAAAAAAGAGGTGTAACATCTAATAAAAGGATAGAATGGCAATTCTATAAAATCATTTTCACTTTGGACCAGCCCATATTTGGAAACCACTGACTTCAAGGATAAAACAAATACCCTTCTCAAAGGTATATGCCCTTTCTGTCAGTTCTTGTCTTCATTTTCCCATTTACAGGAAATACTCCAATAAATACTTTTCTTCCCTAACTAGAACATAATCTATTTCTCCTTCCTTATAGGCCCCGTCACATTCTTGTTTTCTGACTAGCTAGCTCCTATTCTTCCTTCTAGCATTAGCCAGAACTCCCCACCTCCTCAATGATTCCTTCTCTAATCCAGGGAACCCTCCCTGAAGCCTCCCTACATTTTCTACATTGTTCCATTGTAGCAAACACCACATTACATTGGAATGATTTTCAACGACTTCCCTGAAGACTTAGAAATGCCTAAGACATCATGGAAGCTGTTTTTTAGTGTAAAATACACTTGTTACTGAATTCTTTTATAAATAAAGAAGTGACTTGTTCATGGTCATATGATAGTCAACATAACCAGAGCTGAATTAAAACTAGCCATGTCAACACTAATGCAAATTTATGAAAGAGCTCTATAATTTAAAAAATGGAAACATGAGGCAAGATGAACCAACCATACATAAACCATGTGTTAAAGACACATCAATCACATTTAAATGAGTTATGCTATTCACTAACAGTATTTAATTCAATTGGGTTCTAAAGGATAACCATTTGCATATGCAAGTTTTAATAAAGAATAGTGATCTATGGCAACTTTCCAATAAGGAAACTAAAACCAACATTTAAAATTCATTGTAAATTATTAAATAAAATTTACTACATACATACCTGAAAGACTGTGAACCCAAGGTAATATTCAATAAGAATGCAACCTATACTCCAAACATCACAAGGCTGAGACCAACCTAAAGCTATAAAACATAAGAATGTTATTATGCAATAATTTTTAATCTTCTATAAGTCCTTCCCTATATGGGTGAACTCTTTTGAATAGTCTATTTGGGAAAATACGAGAACAAATTCAGGGTTTACACTTTGAAGTTTTGTATCAAACATTATCCAGTATGATCTCATTGGGAGGGGACATTTTATGTAAAATAAAAGGGGACTAGCACATTTTCCAAATATAACTACCAATTCTATATTCTTTGAACTGCTTACACAGGGGAGAACTATACACTATATACTCAGTTCATGGATGGCTCAGGAATTTTTACCTTTTATCAGTGCAAATACAGGTTTATAATTATCCTCAGAGAATATAATTACTTATCCCCTATCTATTATCATAAGTTTGATACATGAGTTTACATCTTCTATTAAAAGAAATATTTGACATAAATTATGTAAAAATTCTAATAGGAATTAAAAGCAGTTTCACCTATAAGCAGAAATACTTAAGTTCACACAAAGAAGGAGAAATACATGTATTTCAGGCTGGCTGTACATGATACTTTCTCCTTTTTTCCAATGGCAATACTATTCTGGAAAGAATAAAACACCTATCCTTCTTAGACCTAGACTCAACTGGAAAGGAGAATAATAAACCATACAGGATATTTTAATCTTTTAAAGACCAAACATTTAGTAAAAGAATGCATAAATAAAGCTACTTTAAAAAACATTTCAATTATGACACTCAAGTTAAAGACACAGGAAAAAAAACAATATATTCAAAGGCCTTGAGGAGTATGATTTAGTCATTTCTGTTCATTCTCATAATGCTTATCGTTTGAATCTAATCTGACAATTTCCAGATCCTTTGCCTCAAGGGCAATGACTCCAATTCCAACTTATAGTTAACATATCCAGAATCTGTAAATGGTATAACCTGGACTGCAAATAAAAGATTTCTTCTTTAACTACTCTTATCTACAATCTAGGTTTTTCCCAGATGATTGTAACTTTCTGCAGCATATCATCTCATTTTTGGGTGAGTCACCTCTAATATTCTGGAATTCTCCATCACTCACTTTTCCCACCCTTTCCAGGCCTTACCTGTTTACTATCAACAACCAAGACATCATCCCTCTATTGTAGCACCAGATTACGTCTTCCTTTCAACCTACACCACCAGCTTCCACCCTCAGGAACGCTCCACAGATATGCCAAAAGATCCTTCTAATCGCCCAATCTCCAGATTTCTTTGAGGCCAATGAATCCAATTCTAGACTTATATCAACTCTCCCTTACCTGGAACTTTCTCAATAGCAAGTACTCAACCCCATCTTTCACTTTAAAATTTTTCCTTTTTATTTCGAACTCTGCACTTTAACTCATTTTCTTTTCCAGCCTTTCTCCTATCAATGGTCATCAAGAAACTCTCCACTTGGAGAGTTTCTTTCTTCTCCTCTTGATCTTTATCTACCCTATGTCTAGAGTCTGCCAGATAAAACCATTAGCATTTTTACCAGAACCATAATTTTGTGAAGGCATAAAAATGGGTACCTACAAAATTTCAAAATCACAATGCTATGATGAATTTAGCTAATGGAAACTGCTCTCTTATGTTAATAAACCCATTAAAAAATAATCACCCTTTGGAATGCTTCACAAGTGGTATCACATTCATATTATTCAGAAAATAATATTTATAATAATGTCCACATGTTTTTAATGAAAAACAAAATGTTTTCTGTATATTGCTAAAGTTACCATTTTAGCCATGAACCCCATCCACATAAATCAAAGCTATTAAGAACAAAACTCTCTTCTTTAATTACAGTATAATGAAGTCTGGTGTCTACTGACCCAAAATGACCTCTGGAGCTCTGTAGTGCCGTGTGGACACCAAAGTACTGTGATGTTCATCATCATATGTTGCACTTCCAAAGTCAACAACTTTAATATCTGTGTTTTTTAGTGTGCGTTCATCACGTTTCTACAAAATTGAGAAAACATAAAATAAAGACATTTTATAACACTACTCAAAATACTGAACAAAAATAATCTTTCTTTCTTTTTTTCTGCTGGGTGCTGGGGATCAAGCTTAAAGCCTAGAAGGGGCTATGCTAATAATGTTCTACCACTGAACTACATTCCGAGACCTACTTTTTTGGCGATTAAAAATTGAACATAATGGGCTCAAAAGTAAAATTCCTCATGCAAAGATCACCAAACTAAGCTAAATTTCAAAGATAATCACTTAAAGCAAGTCTTTTACTTACCATTTTAGAATTATATTTGACTACATAGTCAGACTTCACAAATAAAATATTTTCAGGTTTCAGATCTGTATGTGTTAATTTATTATGATGCAAAACTACAAAGAGAACAAAAAGACATTATTAGTTTTACCTAGAAATTGAATTGGTAAATGGGAGGGATGAAGGAGAATTAGCAGTAGATATGGTGATCAAGAAGGGTTTCATCTTTACCTGGGGTATGTATGTATATTTTGATGACAATTTTTAACGTTTTTTATAATAAAAATCTTAAATTTTCTGATTTTAAAAATTTATCAAATATACTTACAATTTATTGATTGGCAGATCTGATACGCCATCTGCCTGATGTGATCAATCTGAAATGGCAGAAAGCTGTTTTCTTTAATGAAATCATAGGTACTAAGTCCCAGCAGTTCAAACACAATACAAACATGACCATGATGATCAAACCATTCTAGCATCTGGACACATCGGCTAAAATACATCAAAATAGCAAGTTAGTTCATAGAATTGTGATTATTTTACGTAATAAAATGGCCCAAAGTTCAATTTATACTTACAAGACACTATTAGGATCTGTACTATTTAAATGCTCCAATACTTGGATTTCTGAACGAGCTGCTTCACGGTAACGGCCTACATTTTTTACTATTTTCACTGCTACATGTAAGCCATCCCTTAAAAACAAAATTAAGAGGAATACACTAAATATATGGCAGTGGGCTGAAGCCATTTATCCTTTAAAGTATAATTTTAATTATTAATCCTCTATGCTATTTTTTTAAAACCATCTTTTAGATTACACCAAATTCTATACAACATCTTTTCCATACAATCAAACAAAATATACTTTATATGAAGCAATAATTCCCTTAATACTTATGAATTTAATGTTTGTTCCTAAAAGTTTACATTTATATAGATTTTATACCAAAAAAAAAGTAAATAAATATATAAGAACACAAACCAATAACAGAATATGCTACAGTTGAAAACATTCACTCATTCACCAGGCTAACCTATTCTATGCCAGACAGTACACGTTTTAGGGACAAAAAAAATTGGACTTGTTCCTACACGCCTCACACAGTCTAATGGAGTTCTTCACAGAACAGGTGAAGCCCCAACAAAGACAAATTAAAAAAAAAAAAATCTTATTTATACAATAAAGTATAGAGTCCTGAAAGATAGCTTTGATTATCAAATTGGGAGAGAAATGAAATATTTGGGCAAAGACACCACCCTAAAGTCAGGAAGCCAAGATAATATTTCTTAGCTTAGCATATTTATGATGCAAATATGCAGAAACAGCAAGAGCACAGGGTTCAGGGATTTACAAAAGGGCACTTGTATAGAGCCATGAATATTTTGACATCTTCAACTTCCTCTTGCCTCTGTTCTACACCAGATCTACTTGAAGATGAACTAGCACTCAAGCCTTTTTCACTAGGTGCCTCTACTTTACAAAAGAAAACAAAATCTCCTCCTCTTGTAAGATATCTTTGGGGTTAACAAACAAATGATACTGGCTGGATACCAAATCTTTTTCCATGTTTGCTAGTTTCCAAATCATTGCTTTCATCAAGGTCTCAATAAAGTTGTAGCATGATAAGCCATTTAAATGTTTTTTGATAATATTCTCCTTAAGATGTTTAGCATGTATCTCCAGATTTACCAAAAATTGTTATAAAACAGTTGTTGGGGCTGAGGATGCAGCTAGCTCAGTGGTAGAGCACTACTCGCCTAGCATGTACAAAGCCTGGGTAGTTAAATCACCAGCACCCTCAGAAAAGAAAGGGAGGCAAAAAAAATGGCAAAACTCCTACTCCCATATATTTAATTATATGATCAATAAGCTTTTTTTCTCAGTGTTTATATCTATAAAAACAAAAAAATAGAATGCCAAACAGTACTCATTTTTTTAGAAGCCAACAATCCCAATACAAGACACGCTTCAATAAACTTTTTATGTCTAATGAATAAAAAAAATATGTAATGTTAGTACTTGGATCAATTAGAAAACCTTGATTAATCAAGAGAATCTCAGGAAATTATTTAAAAGGCCATTAATGAACAATTGGTGAAATCTGAATAAGATTAGCTGGCAAAATCTGAAAATATATGTATATGTAGATAATAAAGGAAATATTGTCAAACGTTCACTCTGGGGAATCTGGGTGAAGGACATATGGGAATTCATTGAACTGTTTTAGCAACTGTTCTGTGAGTCTACAAATATTTCAAAGTATAAAATTCAACTTATGTTCACATTTTTGTTGCAGAGAAGTAAGATGGGGTGATAATAAAAGATAATTTAGGATAATTTTCTTTATGGACAATGGAACAGAAATTACTTCAAGGATGAAAAATTTGTGTTGCTGAGGACTGAACCCAGGGCTTTGCCCAAGTACTTGATTGCTGAGCTACTCCCCCAGTCCTAAGTATGCATTCAAGAAAGTTTGTTCATGAATGATAGTACATTATCAAGTGGCTATGATATTGAGATTGCCTCCAATATATTTAAAAATTTATTTTTTAAATACTCATACTTAAAATAAGCTGAAAATTACATCCTTTCCAACTATCATAATTTATGACAAAAAACTTTAGATGTCAATTTAAAATATGCAGTTCTACTAAACATGCTTTAAAAGATTTAGTTACAAAGACATAGGCAAACCACAGACAGAATAGAGGAACTGAAGGAATATGGTAAAATGAGGCAGAGTAGGTCATCAAATCACAAACGGGTAGGTAGGCCTCATTTAAAAAATTGGACTTAATTCTGTAGGTCTCAAGTAGGATAATTTCTTTGCAGACTAGGAAGTTAACTCTATTATGAAAATTTAGATATATTTTTGTCTCTGCAATCCAAAAGTAGCTGAATCTCTCCTAATAGAGGACCAACAATCTAAGCTCTGGGAAACTCCTTCACTTGAACACACACTTTAACTTCAATAAACTCAATCTGATAGAATTTGTCAGCATTCTTCATAAAATCTATGTACCTGGTAAATAAACTATATCTAGGTTAAAGAAATGTTGAATATCTATCAGAAAAACTTATAGCTACTACTACTTTAAAAACATACTTCATATAAATTATGGGTGATTTCCCATCAAAAATATCAGAATGTTCAAAGATATAAAAATAAACTTACATGCCATGATCAATGCATTCTACAACTTTGCCAAAGGCCCCTTCACCCAAAGTGTCCACGATTTCATCTAAAGTGAGGGAGAGAAAAAGAGGTATAAGTAACTAAGTATAAATTAACTAGTTATTCAAACAATGAATGCTTAAGTGTGGAATATTTTCAAATGATCTCTAACAAGCATAACTAATGTTTCAGCACTCAAATTATTTTATTTTCATCTGCTACAAAAACAATTAGATAGAGCTATCTTTCTTGCTCTAATCTCAAATTCCACTGATTATTTTGGAACTTTAGAGTAGAAATATTTAAATTCTACAGAAAAGAAGAAATACAAAAGAACAAACCAACCCACAAAAAACAAAACAAAAAAGCAATGAAGAGTTCTTTAGCCCCCCGCTGACAAACTATTCTTAAAAAGATTATTCTGTCTGCAAAGTTTAAAAAGTGTTGAAAAATATTCTATACATCTTGCTCTTAGAACGTCTCCACTTTGACAGATCAGGTGACCCTCCTCATCATCCTCTATACTCCTGGATCTTTTCCTTCGGTGGCTCTTCTGGAACGGCAAGTGGGCAGCACCAAGATCGTCCAGCCAATCAATATATCAGAGTGAATTCAGGGCAGAATACGCAATTCATTCAGCGGGGAGATATTCAGGCATTCAGATAAGCACCAGGCCACGAACAGTTGGCAGGAGCAATTTCAAATTCAGTCCCCAGAAATTCACAGGGCACAGTTTATGTTACAGAAGAAAAACATGGCAAGGAACAGATTTTCAGATAAGATACTTAAAGTGGCAATAGAAAAACAACACAATTGTCTCTTTAAAATACTGATTTAATTGAAGTCTGAAATTTAAAGAATGCAATGTCATGATTTACTAATCTCTTGCTATAACTAGCATATGCTGTGAGTTGAGATGTCTAGTTTGTCAGAAAAATGTTTTAAAATGTCAAGATTGTTGTAACTGTCTTATTTAGCAATATTCTGAAATATACATGATTAAAATCAAAGGGGAAAACAAAGGCTAGTTAATTTCAATGTTCAATCCAATAACAGCTAATTCTATCAAAGAAAGGTTGGGGAGAAAAACTGCAATTCAGTTTACAGATTAAAACAATGAAGATGTCCATTTAAAAAAAAAATCTGGCTTTTTAAAAATATGTTTCCCATTCAGCACCCATATTCACAATTTCAATAGATGTAATTACACAATGATGCACTGTATTAAGGATTATGCTATATACAGGTTAACAACATTTAAGTATCAGTGCAACTTTCCATTTTGTTTTTAAGTATTAGGAAAGAGGTTTCTTTCAAAGTAAAATAATATTTCAATTGAAAGAACAAATGGGTGCATTATTTTTCATAAGATTATATTATACAAACACAAAAATGAAATAAATTCTATAATTAAAATCAACAAACTCATGATCTGGTCTGTAGAATGAGTAAATGTGGGCAAGTGAGGGCTAGCTAATAAATATACAGATCAGCTATGAGAATGTGGACGTTTCCTTTAAGGATTCAAGTAATATAATAATTATATCCAAATAGCATTACATATATAAAGAAACTTTTAGAAACTTATCAGCTCCTTAAGAGCTTTTACACACAATTAAGAATCCACTCAAAATAAAAACAAAATCAATCATACCGAACGTGACTGATGACTTGAACAGTGTCTATTACGCTTCCTTTTAGGACTGCTTCTCCTGCTTCGGACTGAGGATTTACTGCAGTGGATTCGATAAGCGCTTTCAATGTCTCTGTGATAATGTCTAGGAATATATCCTTCACAGTAGTCATTTCTGTATTCATCAACGTATCTCCGGTCCCTATAATCTCTCTCATTCAAGGACCTTGCTTCTAAATAATGACTGCAAACACATTAAAGGATTTCAAATCATTCTCTTCATTTTGGAATAAATGGTCAAATAAAACACACAAGAATTCCTGATTTAAATAATGAAAGAAAAAAAATTCACAAGTTAAAATTTATATAATACTTATCTCACAAACTTAAGAAATAACTTTAACCAACAAGCAAATGGGTCCATGTTTCTCCATTATAAAAATTGCTGTCAAGCACTTCATAGCAAGGAACAACAACAAAAAAAGCTTAAGTCAAATTATGTTTAGTGTTTACCTAAGTGCTCCTTTACCTTCTGGACAAAATTAAAATCAAAATTCACTCTCCTGGAACTCGTCAGTCTTATATGCATCTGAAACTAAGCTTCCTTTTCTCTCTCAGACACACACACAATCAAAGGCAGGCAAAATAGGATTCCTTTCTCTTTTAATGTTAAGTGTGTTTTAGACATCCTAGCAGAAAATTCTTCCATGAAAGGTGTCTTAGAGATACAAGGAGCCCTGAATGTATTCTAGCCTTCTCATTTTAATGATGACTAAATTAAAACTCCCTAAATAATATGCACATTAGTGACAAAAACTGAGACATTTTCAAACTACTTATTTTACATCACTTATTCTGTCTTGTCTTTGCATTTCTAGCCTTGTTATTCCTGCTTGAGAAACAGACAACTTTCAGTACTGCCTACTCTGCTGAAGACATCTGCAAGATATGTTCCACAAATGAGAAAGGGATCCTGTGATTGCTTGCCTAGGATTACATAAGTCCCTCCACCCTACTTCCCTTTGCATTTCTAACTTCCCATCATTCCTGCTTGAGAAACACACAAGAAACACATGATAGAAAACATCATTATCTAGTGCCACAGTACTTGCATCTACAGATCCCTTTGAGAATATGATGAAAGTTGTGGACCCCTCTTCCCTAAGAAACACACAAATGCATGAACAAAACTTGGCAAATAGTTTCATAGAGGTCATGGACCTCAGGAAGTCAATGGATCCCAGTTAAGTAGCCTTGATCTGATGGAAAGAAAAGGACATAGAGATTCAATTGGCCCAGTTTCCCGTCCCCCTCTCTACCTGGGATGAGTGTCCTCTTCAACAGAGTGCGAAGCTTCAAGAGGGATGCACATGGAGCACTGAGGGAGAGAGGGGACACCTGCCCAGTCAGACAAATTAGCTAAAATAATCCTGACAAGCAATGGAGTGACAGATGTTGCCTAAAATGCCCTCACCAACCCCTTTAGGTTCCCCAGAATGTGCTGTCATTTTTTCCCCAGAGTTCTGGTTTAGGCAGAAATAAAGGAGAGAAACACCCTTAAAACCACTACCCCAAAACAAGGCTGGCATCTAGTACTACCCAATTCAGGCGGAAGATGCAGGACCCATTCTTATTCCCTAGAGTCAGTCTAAGTTCTAGCCACTGGAGAAACAACTCAGGATTTTAGGGAAAGATTGTGGGGGTCTAGGTTAGCTGTTTTGAAAGTGTCAGGGAGAACTCTCCACCACAAGCTAGGAAGTACACACTCATTAAGCATATCCTATCTAGTTCTGTAAGGCATCCTTCCCACAAAAATCCCAAAATCGTGCTATCAGAAAAAACACAAACAATCATTAGTTGGAATACTACATAAAATCAGAGCTGCTGATAATCCAAAAGCAATATATAGAAAAACAAAACGGCATGATGTAATACCATGAGGAAAAACTAAAAAGACTGGAACCTTTTCAATCTATAATGACCAATGACCAAGGCTGAGAGATTATATAAACAAAAACTATAGAATCATACAGGCTATGGACACGGTAAACAAAATGAACAGACTGATTAAATTTTTACAAATATTCACTGAATGCCCAGTGAATATTTCACTGTAGCCTTTCAAAATAGTCAAAACTAATGAGGATAGGGGCATTCATTTTTATTTCCACAGGTCCTGTGGGAAATAAAAAAAAAAATTATATAAGGCAAAGTCCCTGCCAACAAATAATGAACAATTTAAGACCATCACATAAAAATAAAACAAAACCCAACAATGAAGGAAATACTGAAAGGTTGGATGTGAGTGCTTAAGAGTCAGAGAAAGGAAAAAACTCAAATCTGCTTAAAACAGTCAGGGAAGAATTCATGAAAAAGATGGGAACAGAGTTTCACTGTAAAGGGAAGCCAGGATATGGACAAAGGGGAAAGTAGAAGAAATTCCAAGGGAGAAAAATGGCATATTATCACTTTACATTTAAAGTACTTTTAGCCACAATGGCTTAGAGATGGATTTGTCTATGTATTATTCAGGTAATAATAGCAAGAGCAATGTTCACCCTGAGAAATATAGCAATTCTCTGGCTGAAAATATATCATTAAAAGCTCAGGCTAAGGAGTGTATCTCAAATAGTTTGTCTATTAAATAACAACTTAGAATAAGGAGTTCTTACTAAAAATGAGATTCCTGGGCTTCAGGGTCATACTTATCGATCAAATCTGCATTTGAAACACACCTCCAAGGTGATTCCTATTTACACTAAACTGGTTTAAGACCTAATACCTTGTTATAGAAAGACATTTAAGGATATAAAAGTGGTATTTACAGTTACATCATCTTCTCAATAAGTGTGCAGAATGGATTAAGCCTGTAGGAAGAGAGACCAACTCACAGGCTACTGCTAAAAGATGAATCACAAAGAAAAGACACTTTGCAATATATGTGACAAAGGGTTAAAATAATGGGAACATGAAGAAGCATTTTTTTAGAAGTACAATTTGGTTATGAACCTTCTAAGAAAAGGAAAATATTTAAGAATCATCTTTTAAGAGTTCATACCCTTTAGCCTCTTGGAATCTATATTCAAGAAATAATCAGAGGCAAAGATTTGTGAAACCTTTTTAAACAAATAATAATTTACATCTAAATAGGGGGCCACTATAAAGGTTACCTTCTTCACATTTTTCTGGATTTAAATTTTTTTTCTATAGTTTTATAAAAACTACTCATAAAGTTTTTAACCTTCAAAAAGAATTTTTTGGATTATGATCAACAATTACCACCAAATATGTCTGAGGCTAATGTCAAAGAAGAAAGTACTGGTCTGGTGGTTAATTAGATTGACTAGGTATTATGTTTATGTAGTTAACTATAAACATGAATCAATCAAATCACTTCCTTTGTACATACACAATATATAATAACTTATGAATAATGATTATTATGATGTTAACCTTATTTTGTATACTTATCAATATACTGGGATAGATATGATTTTTATATTATACTATACATCAATTTGCTCTAGTCACTGAAATCCTACATTCAACCTCCCTCCACATTCCCTTATGTAACAGTGTTTAAAAAAGCATGATTAGTCTACACTGACTACCAATAAGCTCACTGTTTAGCAGAACAAGTCTATTTAGCATGGAGGAGGAAAAAAATTACATACTGTTTTTTAAAGTAACCCCAGCTGGCTAATTTAGAAAGCAATCTGGTAAACAGTCCCAATGGAACATCTGCACAAACAAGGAGAAAACATAAAACCAACACAAAACAAATGAGAAAGGGAAATTAATGGAAGAGAGTGTGCAAGAAACTCTATTCATCTAGCCTTTAATATTTAGAACTTTAGGATTCCTTTAATTCTATATAAATGTATTACCTCCAAATTTTACACCAGTAAAAATACAAAAAAAAAAAAAAGACTCAATATTATTGTAAATTTTTGAGACCCTTTCCTAAATTACTAGCTACTGCCTGTATATAAATAAAACAGTTCTTAGAATATAAGTAAACTTCTAAAATACCAAACATATTCATTGGCCTTAATTCTGTAAATATAACCTGTAGAATATAAGCGACTAATCCCCAATGCACTTTAACTTATCCACATGTTACTTTTCTTATCTGGATTAAACTGTCCCACCCCTTCCATCACCTCACTTTTGAAACACATAATGAGCACCCTAATTTATGTACCACCCTCCTACACACAGGTTAAAAGCACTCAATGGACATTCTTTCATCACCTTTACTGAACTTTATGTGTGTCTCAACTCCCCAACTATGTTACTGGCGGCTAGAAATCAACATGCTACTGACTATATTTTTCTGCCTGCTTGCTTACTTTTTCCTGTGGTAGTGGGGATCAAACTCACACATGCTAGGCGAGTCCTCTACCAATGATCTACATCCCCATCCCCTGAATATATTTCTTATTCACTTGCAGATCAACTGTCTCTCAATACCCCCAGACAGACACAGATATATGATAGAAACTGTTTTATTGCAGCTACAGCCTTTGCAACTACAGAAGCCAGCCTATAACAGTAATGGATAAGAGTTTTTTGAATGAATAAATGTTGACTGCATTCTACAATCACTTGATACAAGCTATATAAACAAATAAGAAATCATTAAAACTATTAGGACTAAAATGTAACTAAGTAGAGAGTAATTTACCAATCAGATTCTTTAAACTGGTGATGCGGTTTACAATGCCTATTCTCTTGTGTACTACTGTGAGATCTCCTCTTCCGTTTGTGACTTCCACTGTAGCTTTCATGACCCCAGCTTTCTCTGCTATCCCAATCAGGGCAGTGTGTTCGTTTGGAATGTCGCATCTGTTAACCAAAAAAAGAAAAAGTGAGTTGTGGAGGTTATAGAGAGCTGTGGAGATGGATTTGTTTAATAAATGAAACATTATTAATAGAAACATTATACATTAATATTATTTAAATATGGCATGTAGGGTCATAAAGGCTGTAGAATATTTTTAGGTATGTTTCCCAAGGCATACAGTACTCTACCACTGGTATATCTGACAACTACTGAGTGGCATAGATCTAGTACTAAATAATGGATAACACGGTGAGACCTTTAATACACCATCTTTCAATTCTTCTGAATATAACCAGGACAAATTCTCAGCTTGGTTCTTGTCTTCAAACAAAAAAGAATGAAAGAAAAAAATTCTGTGGGCAGAGGGGAGGCAGTACTAGGAACTGAACACGGGGGCACTCTTACCACTGAGCTACATTCCTAGTCTTTTTTTCTTGTTTTTATTTTGAGACAGGGTCTAAGTTGCCCAGACTGCCTTGAACTTGGGATCCTCCTGCTTCAGCCTCTGGAGTAGCTGCTATCATAGGCATGTACCACCCTATCTGGCAAAAATTTTTAATCTTCAAATTTTTGAAAGGTTCAGGCTTAAGGCTTCAGTAGACAACAGTATTTAGCTTGAAATCAATGATTTTTTTTGTCTTAATTTATTGCCACTGTCATTTATGCTAATTTTCTAATTAGAAATAAATTTCTTTAAAAAATGTTAACATTAAAACATGAGCTGATTTAACATTAAATAAAATCACAAGTGTCATGCAGCTTGGTTAACATATAATACAAATAATCAATGTAAAAAACGGATATTAAATATGGGAGGTGACTTCTATTTAAAGCTTTTCATTAATTAAGCTTTTTTCTCAAACTTCTTTTTCTAAATCTTAGAATGACTCCAAGGTTTGAAAATAACAAAGGAGGGGCTGGGGTGTAGGTCAGTGTTTGTCTAGCATTATCAAGGCCCTAGGTTTGATCCCCAGCACCCCTTGCACACACACAGAAAGAGAAAATAGAAGTGAAAGAACACAATATTCAACAGAGAAACTGAAAAACCAAAAGGTGATTATTATAAATCCATTTTCTCTAGTAAGAAGTTTATTTGCAAATCATTTGTAGTTTTTCTTAAAATAAAAATCTATTTGTTATAAATCTGGAGTAATCCTGAAAAAGAAACCAACTTATGGGGATACATAATGAGGCATGGTTAAAGTAACATCAGACTATGAGGGTAACACAATTCCCAGACTCAATCTACACCTCCAATATACAACAGGATTCTGAACCTATGCTCGATTTAACCAATCTGCCTCTTCCCAACTTAATTCTTTTTCAAAGCGTAAAATTTTTAACAGTAAGGTCCAAACTCTGCTAAACAGGGTGAGTTTAAATGGCAAAAAGAAATTCACAACTCAACAAAGGAGCTGGCAAAAATCTAAAATGGAGCAAATAACTTAGTTAACCTTATTCAGCTTGCCTAAATGAGAAATAAGCAAATAAATCAAGTAAAAATTTAAAATATTTCAAATTGATTAATGGCTTTGAAATGAGGCAGCTTCAATTCTCCTGGGAGGTCTTCCCTGTTATGTATCATGCCTTCAGAGCCTGATGCCACCAAACATTTTTTTTTTAAAGCAATGCTGAGATCAACCCAGGGCCTCCAAATTGCTAGTTAAGTACTCTACCACCTTCAGCCCAAACATTAGGATATTTTAATTTGATGCTGATTCTAATTCTGTGCTCATTCTAATTCTATACATCTTTTGGTTCATGAGGCTTCTTTTAAGCTTACTTAGCAGGAGGCTAACAAACTCCAGGCCAATCTCAGCAACTTAGTGAAGTACTAAGCAACTGAGCAAGACCTGTCTCAAAAATAAAAAAATGAAACAGGCTGGAGATATAGCTCACTGGTAAAATGCCCCTGGGTTCAATTCCCAGAACTAAACAAGCAAGCAAACAGAGAAGATATTGATGAAGTCAAATAAAAAATCCTAAAATTATTGTTGGCTTCTCAATGGAGATTAGTAAGTCTTCAGAATTATTAAAAAAAAAAAAAAAAAAAAATTTAAAGCTGGCACAGTGGCACAAGACTGTAATCCCAGAAGCTCCAGCAACTTAGTTAGATCCTGTCTCAAAATAAAAAATAAAAAAGGGCTCAGGATGTAGCTCAGTGATAAACTGCCTCTGGGTTAAATCTCCAGTGCTAATAAATAAACTTTATTCTTTTCCCTAATTCTAGAAGAATTCTCCTAACTTGTTCCTTCAATTGCCAAAAATGTATTTTAACCACATTTACAACTCAGCTTCGCTAAACATTTTTCTCTCTCCCACCCTCATGCTAGTGATTGAATCTAGGACCTGGGCCTTTCCAAGCACCTCTAACCCTCGAGTTAGGACAGAAGACACTAAAGAGGCAGAAAAGAGGCATGCAGAACACCACAAAGTGGCCATGATTAAAGTCCACTTTGACATGGATTAAAAATTCAGGTTTAAAGGTCACAAAGAACACCATTACAACAATTATTAGACCTTATCCACAGGTACAAAATGTGTTCACAAAGCAAAACGCACCAAAAACAAAGAAAATACTACCCCTTTGAATAATGATCAACATACCTGTAAATGACCAACATCCTAGGAATGATCAACATGTCCGGTTACAAACACAAAGGAGAACTGAAAACAACCTCTTAGCTCATGTCCCTGTACTACTGATCTTACATGTATAAATGTCTAGATAAGGTGGAACTAGCAATATCCTCTCTTCAACACCCACACTCCACCCTGTGTACTTCTTTCTTTCACTCAATAAATTCAATCATGTGCCTCACTTTAGAACATAAATTCCTTTTTGAGAGCATACATCAAAGGACCCTCACAGCCAGAATTGAAGTTCACCTCCTTTTTGAGGGACCTCTTTGGATCCTCATCCTGGTGACCAACCCCCCTAAGCATTCTTAAAATAATGGCAAGCAAAATTTCAGCTTCTGATGACTAAGGGTAATTATCATGACCATCCATTATGAAGGTTTTGCAACACATCTGTGTTTGCTTTAGTTTGTTTTTTCCCTACCTACCATGAGTCTGCTAAATCATCTCCTCTACAAAACAAAGTTATCAAATTATCAAACTTATTAATATGCAATATTAAGATTGAGTTTCTTGGACGAACCCAATATTTTTCTAGTCGGGTTCACTATTTTAAATTTAATTCAGCTGTTGGTACCAGCCCCGTAAACACCCATTTTGGTCCCCAGCAAATTTTAGAAATATTTTCTCAAGAGGCAAAGAGAAGCTTCTAGGACCTACCCCTTCTGTAAGGTTCCTTCACATACAGAGAAAAGCAAAGCTACCTAAAATTACCATGCTGCCTCTAATTAGTTAAAAAAAGAAAAAATCCTATATGCTAGAATCATCAGGTGACTGACGTTTCAATAAAAACACCCGACACAATGGATATATCATCAGTATTAGAAATCTGATGCTCCATCACCTTTTTAAAAGATCTTAAAAAATACTTGACAACTTTATGGTATGAACAGTTTACAACCTTAAAAAAGGGGGGGTGGGTTACAAGTTATGATTCGAGGGCATTTTCAAATAGGCAAAAAAAAAAAAAAAGCCTGGAGGTGCCTGTTTGGAGAATCATCTATACAGGTGATTGGCCGGTAGTCTGCAGGTTGGCTACTTCACCAGAGATAACACGCTGCAGAACTACCAGAAAGGCTCATTCTCTCCACAATGGTATGCTCCATGGGGGGGGGCAGTATTGCACAAAGGACGAATCTCCCCACGTTTCAACCTCTTACCTGCACTAGGTGAATCCCACCACCTGGATTCACCCAATCCCCACCCACCTCTCCGCCCCAGGCACCTGGCCAGAGGCTTTGGCGTACAAACACGGACAAACGCTGGACTAGGGAAAAGCCCCCCAAAGCTACAAACGGTGGAGGTCAGGCATCTGGGAGCGGGGGAATCGATCTCCGACAACACAAACACCAGCGACGGGCCCCTCGCAGGGTCTCCGGACACGACCTCGCACTCTCGGACCGACCTAGCACTCGCGGCCCTGGCAGTGTCTATAATAGAGTCCGAGCTCTTCGGTCAACACCGTGGGGCTAATTTAGAGCCTCTGGCAGGACCGCGACGCCAGAGCACCTTCAGGTTTTTAAGGCCACCAACGGAGCGGCACCCCGCAGGAACCGCCAACTCAGTCCCCAGAGGCCAAGGCCAGGAACCGGTCGTTTCTCGAACACCTGGCTCCGAGACCTAAAATAAGATTCGACGGTAGCCTAGCCCAGCACATCACACCCGAAACCTCACCTCTGCGAAAGCAAAAGGTCCTTTGGCCGAAAAACGTCGCCAAACCGCCGTCGTTCCTCTCCAGCCGCTGCGACAAACACCCTACAAAATGGCGGCAGCGCCGTCACCCTACAACCGCCTAGGCGGCCTCTAGCCCCACCTACACCGCGCAAACGCGACTGCGTGACAGAGACCTTGTCTCCTTTATTCTCCAAAGCCGCCTAACACATAGCTTTTAACAAGAAGAGACTTAAAAACGCAAGAACTCGGGCTGGGAATGTGGCTCAAGTGGTAGCGCGCTCGCCTGGCATGCGTGCGGCCCAGGTTCGATCCTCAGCACCACATACAAAGATGTTGTATCTGCTGATAACTAAAAAATAAATATTAAAATTCTCAAAAAAAAAAAAATGCAAGAACTCAGGAGGATAGAATGCCGCAGTCTGGCTGGGCACAAATGCCACAGCCTGGCTGGGCACACAATCACGAGCCACCACACAGCTTGTAGATTCAAACAGCAACTCTTTATTCCCGAACTCACACCA